GCCACAGAAATGATATACCTATTAGCCTCATCACTATGACGATAACTGCAACTTCCAGAAAGCAATGAAAAGGGGTGCCATTTTGCCAAATAGAATTTTGAGCTAAAAATAGCCTTTATAGGTCACGTGACAATTAATGACTCCAACCATGATTCCAAGTTTTTGACGTTACACCCAGGTAGTCTGTCAATAGGTTCTCTGGCTGTATTGAAAGCCTAAAAAGTTAGACCACCCCCTCTGTTTTTGTGGAATTAAATAGAAGACTCATGCCTTAATTTTCTTGAGCTCTTAGTTCAGTGTTATCCTTCTAGCTTTGCGCCTGCCAAAACACTGCTTTAATTAAGACTAAAAAACGTCTTGCTACAAGCTTTAACGTTCGTAAAACGTGATTATCGCTACTTGTTTTAATGAAAACGTGATTAATGCTACTCCCTTTTTTGTGAAAAGTGATTACGTTTTTATACGTGATACGTGATTAGGACCACTTCTTTATACGCTATACGCGAGTAGGGATACTTCTCTTCACGTGAAACGTGATTACTTCTTTATGAGTGACTAAGCGTGATCAGTCATTTGATTTTTCCTTTAAAACTGTTTTATTCATCCGTTAGCCAATTAATGGGCCGGGGAACTGTACATGAATGAAGTTTTCACATTGACTACCCTTAATGTTGTTTAGGGTTGAAAAAGCTAACAGTTACAGTGTGCAACCAAAACAACTGACAAGGGAGAAGAAAAGTCGTAACTATTCAAGGGATCGCGTAACTCTTGGTGCACACAAGTCTGGTGCTGAATGAACTGCCATGCTTCTCCATTGCTGTGCTATTTTTTTTCTTTTTAAGCTAAGCTAGTGTCGCGTAACTGCAATAGTTACGCCATATTTACAGGTCTCAATGCTCACACTTCAGCGACCCTTTTGAATGAAACCGCGAACCGATATCCTCAAGCATTAATTAATCACTTTTAAAAAGTACCCAGGGGTATCACAGCTTCAACGCTCATTACAGATATGATCTTGCAGAACAGTTAACGCCTTAATAAATGTCATTTAAACTTTTATAACCTCAACGCTAAAAGACTTTGTAGTTTAAATTCAGCGTTCGTTTTATACTATGCCAGAAAGAGCAAAATTAAACAATAAAAGTCATTTCGTCTAATAACAACAACGATAATATTAATGTTCTTCAGTTTTAAGAAAAATAATTATACTGCGCTACTTTTGTTTAGCCACTGAAGTAATTTTATCAAAATTAAAGTAAATTCTCATTTACTATTTTAGTTATTTGTTTGGAAACGATACATGGCTGGGACAGGTCCGGGGGGAGTTTTTAGAGGCTCCGCCCCGAGGTCCAACCCCTTACCCTTTAAAATACCATTTTTGACTGAAAAGGTACCCGTTCCGTACATCTTCAATTGATATATCGTATTTCTTCCATTTACAGACCAAAATGACAGCTAGATCTCCCTAAATATCGCCTAAATATGCTTCCGGAA